ATGCGCCGGTCATCCCTATATAGGATCCGAACCTGCGGGGGAGCACCGCTGCGCTCCCAGCACCACACTCTCCCGAGTGCGCCACGGGCTCAGCCCTTTGCTAGCACTTTTTAATTCTTTCTTATGATTTTCATCTCTCTCTCTCTTTTTTTTTTAAATTTTCATCTCCTTTGAAACTGCCTGTCAGATTTTGTATTCTGTCTACCTTTCCCATTAGAGCCTTCAACACATTAACCAACATTATTTAAAGTTCCCTGTCAAATAGCTTCAATATCTGTGTCATGTGTGAGTCTGGTTTTGTTGATTGCTTTGTCTCTTAGCAGTGTGTTGTTTTATTTGGGAAGAATTTATATGCAGATTTTCGGGCTCACTTACTCTGTGGTTTCTTCCCTTCAGTTTTCCCCCTAACTTTCTAGCTGCTCTGGTCAGCCTTAAACACAGCTGACATTTTAAGCCACTAAGGCTGTGGCTTTCTATTGTCATAAGCCATTGATTAATTGGGGAATGCCCTCAGGCAAAAATATAGAAACCTGTAGCTCTCATTAGTGCAGTTTCTTTGTCTTGAGGGTACACTCCCTTCCAGCTTCTACCTACATTTTATTGCACACCACTGCCTTCAAATAGTTTTTTTTTTTTTNAATTCAATAAACAGATCTGATCATGTCACTTCCCTATTGAGGCCCTTTTAATGTCTTTCCATTTATTAATGTCCTTGCCTTTCCCTGTAACCTCATAAACTGGTCTTATGCATTGTATTCTAGATACTGACTTCTCTCAGCAAACAGCAGATTCCCACTCTTTGTCTTACACACAATTTGAGTAAATTTGTAATTGTCTGCCTTTTGTAAATTATTTCTTGTACTATGGCTCTCTCTGTTTATTTCTCTTTGGATGATCATATTTCTCTGTCCAAATCCAGCTCCCACTTAGTGGGTATAACTTTGGGCACATTACTTAACCTTTTTACACCCCAGTTTCCCATCTGTGAAATGGGGATAAAATTAATACCACTTCTACCTCAGAGGTTTGTTGTGAGGATTAAATAAATTAAATACATAAAGTGCTTGGCATGGTGCCTGGTGTAGGGAAACACTCAGTAAATAATAAATAATTGTTATTCTTAAATGCTCATATGATGTGCCTCTGCTATATGTAAATTCCTTTATTTTCTCTATTTTAAAAAAAAATTGTTATCCTTTGTTCATGTATATGCTGAGAATCACCAAACTCTGACTAGATCCCATGTGTTTTGAGTTACCATGTGGTTTATCTTATAAAAAATATTTTTTCCTCCTAACCCCAACCTTAGGGATGATAGAAATTTAAGAAACAAAGGCCTAATAAGTGGTGTGAAGTCACTCAGTAAAGAAGAATTGAGTGCAGAATTATTAAACTTATCTCTGAACACAGATGTGTGTCATCAGCCTTGTATTTCTAAGCAACATTTG